CTAAACAGATGAATGTTATGTCTTACCAGCAAGATTTATAAAGTTTTTGAGAATACAACTCCACTAAACAGATGAATGTTATGTCTTACCAGCAAGATTTATAAAGTTTTTGAGAATACAACTCCACTAAACAGATGAATGTTATGTCTTACCAGCAAGATTTATAAAGTTTTTGAGAATACAACTCCACTAAACAGATGAATGTTATGTCTTACCAGCAAGATTTATAAAGTTTTCGAGGATCCAACTGCACTAAACGGATAAATTAATTGGTTAGTTTTACCAGCAGGATTTATAAAGTTTTTGAGTTTCCAACTTCACTAAACACATGAATGAATACTATACGTCTTACCGGCCTCGTTATTTGTTTGGTTTCTTTTGGATATTCACGCAAAGCTACACAAGAGCTACCTGCACTTGCTGTCCCTAATTTTGAACTAATAGACTAGATGAAAGGCAGCTAGTCAGCAGAATCTACCTCCAACTTTTGGGCTACTATAATCAAATAATGGAATTTGACCGTTACTCTTATAACCTGTCCAAAGCCCCAAAGTGCGGAATGCCAGTTTGCGGCGAAAGGACGCAAACCATAGATTCTTAGATTCACAGTTCGGCACATTTATCCCTTAAAACGCCTGGACATGTTTTTAGTCTGTTCAAAGTTGTTGTTTTTTCTTCACAAAATAACAAAAGGATTTCTTTATAGCTTACAAGTTTTCATATCTCTTAAACACTTTCTTCCTTCATCTTTTTCGTCTCAATTTTAGGGCTAAAACAGCAAATTTCCTTTTTCTTTAAGAACTTTATGTAGTAGGTAAATGTAAGCTCTGTCTGACGAACAAAGTTTTAAGGATTTTCGAACCACATTGAACGTCCTTTCTGTTGTCTAATTTAAACTATTTCTTGTACAAATGTGATTTTTCTACATGTCTTAACGTAATTTACTTGAAAATCTTTTTCTAAAGATTTTGTGTGTTTTGCTAGCTACAGCTATTCCCAGAAAGAAATTATTTTCAGATGTTTTTCGTACTCAATTTTAGTCTTTTCTGTAACATTGTGTAGTGGCTAGTTCTAACTTTACTGTGACAAACCTGATTTTTCTGGTGTTTAATTTAAATTTATCCTGTTTTCTTTAAAGTCTGTGTACTGGCTAGTACTAACTTTACTGTGACAAACCTAATTTTTCTGGTGTTTAACCTGTTTTCTTAAAATAATTTAATGGTTAGTTCTATCTTTTATCTGACAAAGTTCGTTTATCGAACTGCGGGAATGTAAATAGCTAAAAGAAATTCCAAATTATTACTTCAAACAGTTGCCACTTTCGTATAACAATTGGTACTCCTGTTTATTTTCTTCGGTAAGTTTCTGAGAATGGTGAGAACGATAGCCTACAGAATAGCAGTAATTAAACTTTAGTTAGTCGGAGTTATTTCCAAATGGATTGACTCTAAGGTAACGGTACAAGAGACGTAATAATTTACCTTAATATCATAATAGTTTATGTTTCTGAAATGTAAACTTCTCATCCGAGTATCGTATAAGAATGACGTATTTGTAATAATGTATTTTCAAGGATGTTCCACAGAGAATCTGTTTTTGTCATTTTCGTATACCCAGTGTCTTTATTAATTTTTTCCCCCCATAGGTATGCTATGTCGACATACTGCTAAAGCCCTTGAAGCGTCGCATACGAGTGTTAAGCCTAATCTTTGCACATGATTGAGTACGTTTGTTCGTGAGATGAATTAAAGTTGGACTTCATGATTCATATTAGACATTTAATTTACGTAGGTCGTACTGAGTCAGTCAGGGGAATAATAAGACGTGGGTGTAATGTTGTGTCGATAATTTTGTCTTGATTAATTTAAGGATAGTTTCATGCCCCTGCAACTTTTCCTCTCTCCTCGTTTTGCTTAAGAAACAGACACGTTTCCGGTCTGATCTTTATTTATCATTTAGACTACGCCCATTTATCTCTCTCCCTCCCCTTTTTTTATTTTTTCATTGATTATATACTTCGGACATTCGCGCCTACTTATCTCTTCCACGCGCCCTCTGGTGGGCGACGGCCGTCAATGTTATCTTTTGCTGTTCGTTTCTTAAACTTGTGAAGGTCTGAAAGGCAGGTATGTGTTTGTATATATATATATATATTAATGAAAGCAACTTCATGTAAAATATTGTCATATACACTTCTCAGTGAACTCTGAACTAAAGGTTCTTATATAACCCACTTCGTCACAATTGATACTACATAACCTAGATCGTAGTCCGACTTCTCAATGAACTCTGAACTAAAAGTTTTTATATAACCCACTTCGTCACAATTGATGGTACATAACCTAGATCGTAGTCCGACTTCTCAATGAACTCTGAACTAAAGGTTTTTATATAACCCACTTCGTCACAATTGATGGTACATAACCTAGATCGTAGTCCGACTTCTCAATGAACTCTGAACTAAAGGTTTTTATATAACCCACTTCGTCACAAGTGATACTACATAACCTAGATCGTAGTCCGACTTCTCAATGAACCCTGAACTAAAGGTTCTTATATAACCCACTTCATCACGGCTGATGGTACATAACCTAGATCGTAGTCTGACTTCTCAATGAACTCTGAACTAAAGGTTTTTATATAACCCACTTCATCACGGCTGATGGTACATAACCTAGATCGTAGTCTGACTTCT